CGAGGACCCTGCTTCTCTCTCTGCCTGCCACTCCCCCTGCTTATGCTTTCTCTCTCTCTCCCTAATAAATAAATAAAATCTTTATTAAAAAAAATAGTTGAAGGGACTTAACAGATTTTCTGCTCTACAAATGATTCTATTTTCCTATATCCCACTTTTCTTCAAAAACTCACTTAAATTCTCACACCACCTTCTAAAACAGACCAACCCATTCAATGGTTAGAAACAAGACAACATGGGACGCCTGGGTGGCTCAGTTGGGTAAGCGTCTGCCTTCAGCTGGGGTCATGATCCCAGGGTCCTGGGACTGAGTCCCACATCGGGCTCCTTGTTCAGCAGGGAGAGCCTGCTTCTCCCTCTGCCTGCCACTCCCACTGCTTGTGCTTGCATTGTCTCACCAATAAGCAAACAAACAAACAAACAAATAAATAAAATCTTTAAAAGAAAAACAACATGGAAATATCATGAACACAGTAATTTCCATCTTGTCCTACTAGTTCTTCAGAGCACTTGCTAATTCATTAGAGTCTGTTCCAATCCATCTGCCCCTAACTGGGAATTTCCAGCACTGTACCCCCCAAAAAAGTTCTGCTGTAATTATTCTGGATACTCAGGATGTTAGGATAAAGACAATCTTTATCTACATCACCACTGTCATCATAATAAATAATTTTAATGTTTTGTATACGCTAGGACCTATGCTAAAATACATATGCTATCTTCTTAAATGTAGAGAGCAATTCTATGAGATATTTATTACCTCTACTTACAGATCAGAAATTGGGGCTCACAATTTAAGTGTAGAGTCACCCAAGTATTAAAAGATGGAATTAAGGTCTGAATCTAGGTCTAATTCTAAAGTCTGCATTTTTCTACTTTTCCACATTGATTTCCGTTTTACATTAAAAATGGGAGGGACAAATGAAGTAAAGAAATGAAAATATGGGGGCGCCTGGGTGGCTCAGTCGTTAAGCGTCTGCCTTCGGCTCAGGTCATGGTTCCAGGTCCTGGGATCGAGCCCCGCATCGGGCTCCCTGCTCGGCGGGAAGCCTGCTTCTCCCTCTCCCACTCCCCCTGCTTGTATTCCCTCTCTCGCTGTGTCTCTCTCTGTCAAATAAATAAAAAAATCTTTAAAAAAAAAAAAAAAGAAATGAAAATATGGTTAACTGAACATCAAGTCCAGAAAGAGCCATACCTTTTTTTTTTTTTAAGATTTTATTTATTTGCGAGAGAGAGAATGAGAGACAGAGAGCATGAGAGGGAGGAGGGTCAGAGGGAGAAGCAGACTCCCTGCTGAGCAGGGAGCCCGATGTGGGACTCAATCCCGGGACTCCAGGATCATGACCTGAGCCGAAGGCAGTCGCTTAACCAACTGAGCCACCCAGGCGCCCCAAGAAAGAGCCATATCTTGCAAACACAACAAAAAGAGCCATATCTTGAACTTGCTGACAACCATAGCTATCATTTCTTTCACTAATTATAAACATTTCTTTCTGATAAACAGAAATTAAAACAATTCAAGTTCTTGATTAATACACAAAATTATGTTGGCAAATATTTACTGATTGCTTACTTTGTGCCAAACACTATTCTAGTTGCTTGAGAATACAGCAGCAAAGAAGACCTAGCTCTGTCATCTGGTGGGAGAAGATACAATAAACATGTAGACAAACAAGCAATGTAATTTCATATACTGAAAATAATGTGAAGTGACAGAAGGCAATTGAAGTGACCACCTGGAATGAGGTCAAATAAGGGAAGGCCTTTCTGAAGAGGTAATACATGAGCTTGAATCTAAACGATAAGGAAACGGAATTGGAAGAAGCCTGAGAGGTAGCAGGCAAGGCAGATGGTATAGGAACTTGTAGATCATAGCAAAAGAAGTTTAGATCTTGGGGCACCTGGGTGGCTCAGTCGTTAAGCGTCTGCCTTCGGCTCAGGTCATGATCCCAGCGTCCTGGGATCGAGCCCCGCATCAGGCTCCCTGCTCTGCAGGAAGCCTGCTTCTCTCTCTCCCGCTCCCCCTGCTTGTGTTCCCTCTCTCACTGTGTCTCTCTCTGTCAAATAAATAAATAAAAATCTTTAAAAAAAAAAAGAAGTTTAGATCTTAACCTGTTGCAATGGGATATCAATGGAGGATTCTGAAACACAGTAATGACATCTGTTTATGCTACAGAAAGATCACTTTTAAAAATGATGGCAATGAATGTTTCAAGACAAATTAAAAGAAGCCTGAATAAAATCAGTTAGAACCCACCCATGGAGAATATCTTCCAAAAGCCTACTTGCTTTCTCTAAATTATTTCCTTTAAAATGAACAAAAGCCTCTCATTACAACATTATGAAATAAAGGGTCAAATGAAAATATCTTTGGATGAACTAACACACTTAAACTCACACTGAGGTCTAAACACAAATTACTAAATAATGGATGCCAGAATAAAAAAGAGAAGCAAAAGTGACATAAGGAAAACAGACACAAAAGCTGGTAATGCCAGAGACACCTATTTCACAAACTTGCCTAAAGCTGACTTAGAAACCGAACTCAAACTAAGATAATCCCAACTGTAAAGAAATATGAAACTAAATGAGGCCTAATGTATAAACTATTTTCACTGTGCCCTTCATTACTCTCCTGAAAATTTCTCTCAAAAGGCTTTATTTACATTGAAATACATGATGTTCATTAAAAGTAAACACAAAATGACTACAAATAACCCTTAACCATTTTAGAAAGTTCCATTCCACTAGGAAAAAAGGAATCAAGTTTTTAGAAAACCAAAAGTATTTAACTATATAAACTACATATAATGCATTTCAAGTTATTTTAGTAGAGCAATGTATTAATATTATTTTAGTAGAGCAATCACTTTTTCACTCGATATATCAACAAGGGAAATAAGCTCGGGCAAAATACCAACAATTGTAGAGGCAGAAAACTTGGGGCTCCAGTATATCTCATTATTGCTAACTAGGGAAAAAAAAATTCTGTCACTTGAAATCCCACAAGGCAGGGATGGGGACCAACTTAGTCTTGCAAATGATGTAACCATACAATTAAAGCACCAGAGCTCAAAGGTAGGAAATGTTAAATGCTTGTATAATTTTGTACAAATGTTTTAAGACAAGAAAAGAGAGTATGTTCTCAGACTTACACGAGCATTTGCTACCAGGGTGTACCACTGGTACACTTGGTGGGTGTACCAAGTACATTAAAGATTTTTTTTTTCTTTTAATCTTGAAAACATTGCCACAAAGTTAAATGTGGTCACTGGCAACTGATATGGTGGAGTCAAATCCTAACTCCCCTTTTTCTGTGTAATCTTAAGCAATTTACTTAACATTTCTGGGCCTTAGTTTCGCCACCTGTAAGTCAATTATTTAAAAAATCTACTTCTGGGGCGCCTGGGTGGCTCAGCTGGTTAAGCGTCTGCCTTCGGCTCAGGTCATGATCCCAGGGTTCTGGGATCGAGCCCCGCATCAGGCTCCCTGCTCGGCGGGAAGCCTGCTTCTCCCTCTCCCACTCCCCCTGCTTGTGTTCCCTCTCTCGCTGTGTCTCTCTCTGTCAAATAAATAAATAAAATCTTTAAAAAAAAAAAATCTACTTCTTAAGGTTATTTTAAGGTACAGTGAGACATATATTGTAAATGGCAATAAAGGGTTGGGCAGCATAGCAGATACTTAGTATGTGAGTCTTTGATGATGACTGTTATCATAGTTTATATTGTATGTTCTAATTTTACTTCTTGGAAAGAAAGTAACTTTGATCTATTGGTAAATACAGGTAATCTTGTCTTGGCTCTACAGTCTTTTCCGTATGTATTACTCAAAGTGCCACAAAACATCTCTACCAACAAAAACTTTATATAGACAAATAGTCTGAAGATTGGGGCCTATGATTTTGTAAGTTTTATCCATCTGTTCCCTCAAAGGTAAACACAAATCAAAACACTATAGGGGCAATAGCAGAAGTGGAATAAGAGTAACTGGATGATGGGTCTTACTGGTGACATGCCATAGACAAGAAGCAACGGGTTAACCCTCTCTTCTCAGCAGGAAGCAACAATGACTTCTCCACACTTACTCCTAAAATATTTGAAATGTTTTGGAGACAATCCATGCTTCCTGACAGTTTAATATACCTCTTTTCTGTAGTAAAGAAGCAAAGTGGAAAAAAATCCCCGATGGAGACAAAAAAGCAATAACTGGGGAAAGGAAGTACTATATATTCAAAAAGCCCATTTCCCAATTTCCTGTTTTGATTACCAGTGAAGCCAAACTTATTTCTTTAAAAAGGTATTTCAAGTGACTGAAAAGTAGCTGGACATGTTTTACATTTTAAGGTATGAATGATGATACTGACTGCAGTTATTTCCGGTCAGTAGCAAGAAGCCTGCATTTTATTGCAGCAAACACAGGTACAGGGAAACCTCCCAGGTGGTCGCCTCAGCTCTACGTGGAGCTCCTGTTACTTCGTAACATTCACCCAAGTAAGGCCCTTCTTATAACACATCACGAGTTTTAGTTCAGCGTAAAACAGAGTAGTCCAACATATTCCAACGAAGTGGATTTGCTACTGCTTAAACCATAGCTTGTCTATCATCAAGAAAACCAGAAATCATTAGCACGTCAAGGCCTATAAGAAATAAACGGACGCGATAATTTCCGCGAAGGTTCAGTAAAGACAACAGCACCTTACAAGGCTCTGAAACAACACCTAAATCTCTAATGATCTGGGCCCAACGGCCCAAGGTCACACATACACACACACACCAAGTCAGTAAGTAGCTAACAAAAAATCCAAGAAATGATGAGCCTCCTGCAGTTCAGGACAACTGTGGCTAGGAATGGAGTCTGGGTTTGGGAACACTCGCGTCAAAGCTTTAATGTGAACAACGCCAACCGAATGCAGTGGCTCCGTGGGAAAAACCCAGGCGCTTCGGGAAGGATTTCCTTCCATTTCCCCAGTCTTCCCTTCCCTAGTCACCCCCGACACTCACATCTCCGGAGCCACTTCATCCAATGGTAGACGATAGTAGTGTGGTGTTTCTTGTTCTCTATACACCAAGACGACAAGCCTTGAATAGATTCCATGGTGTTAGTTACCGACTGGAATTTTCGATCCAACGAGGACTCCAGAGCCCCTGCCGAAGAGGCCGACGAGGAGGAGGCCTTACTGCTGCCTCCGCCGCCGCCGGCCGCCATCTTCCCGGTTTGCACAAGCGCTGCTGCTCCTCTGGCGGCGGCGGCGGCGGCGGCGGCGGCGGCGGGAGCGGGAGCGGGAGCGGGCAAAACAATCACTGCGAGTGCGTGGAAGCCGTAGGTGGGGAGGGAGGCTAGGGGGTGGGGATGGTGCACGCGCTAGGCTCTTCTAGAGGTAGGACGGGAGGACCAGCTGCTGGGCACGCTGGTGGCTCCTACACGCTGTAAGGAAGGGCTGCGGGTATCGAAGGTTTATCAGAATTGTTCGAGGGGTTGTGTTTAAACCAGTCAATAATCACGGAAGAAATGCGCAGAAAACAGATCCTGCAAAGCCTTTCAAAACGCCTGGCCCCGAAACTAATGGTTTTACACTCTTCAGCTCTCAAAGCTAAGGCTCTTCCCCACTCCTATCGCCACGCTCCTGTAAAGAGTGGGCATTAATATCTTAAATTTAATACTACCCGATTGCCCTTTCAGTTGCAGGAATCTTTCTCCTTTAGCTCCTCTAGCACAGAAAAGGCCCAGGGCTACCTAGTGAGGATTTTTTTTGCAACGCAATAGCAGCAAAGGGACAGCAACAGTATCGCGCACGCGCGGCTTCGCCCCGCCTCCCCGCTTCCTTCTCAACCTAGAAAGCAGACGGAGGCGTGATGGCGGGGCAGTCTGACCAATCAAAGGACTAGAACGAGAAGCGCGCGCAGAAGCCCGCAAGCCCCAAGGGCCAAGGAGGCGCTACGATTATTTGTGCGCTTGCGCAGCAGATCAGCGTGTAGCGGGCTAGGAGGAAAAACCAGGAGAGAGGGTGAGGGAGTTGGTCAAACTAAGAAGAGGTTGGGGGAGGGGCTTCACCGCTCCGCCCCGCCCTTTACTTCCTAGCGAGGTCTCCCTCTTGGGTCTGTCCAGCTCACACAACAGGCCGGGTGATTCCCACCGCTCAGAGGTCACTGTTACTATCTGGCAGCTGCTGCCGCCGCCGCTAGCTCCTCGGGGCACCGACTGGCGACAAAGTGGCTGGCAGCCATCTTGCAGTGCCTCAAAAGATGCGCATGCGCCAGCTCCAGCGAGCCATTCACTACGCAGACTCCCAGATCAAACAATATTTTACACTTCCCTTGGACGATACCATTCACAGCCAGTAGGCTATTTGGATTATAGGAAGAGGAAGTAAATGAAGTGAAACGAAAAATTTCCTAGTAGAAATTTCGAGACGAGGAAAGAATAAAAGGGAAGATGTGATCTCACTTTTGCCGGTTATAACAGTCTTACAATTGCATAATACATTATAGTTTAAAGAGCCCTAGCTGTCTGTTATATTGATTAGCACAACCTAGATTAACCATTCCATCGTATCTGCCTATGAAAATCCTCTGGGCAGATTTGGAGGCTCCTGTGTTCCACTGAACACATGCAATTACTGTATTTTAAGTCTTTTACCTCTCCCCAGTGGACTCATTGTTTCTTGAGGCAAGGAACCTGTTTTGCCAAGCTCATCTCTAGTATTCATTCATTCATTCATTCACTCATTCATTCATTCAACAAAAAGTTGTTGAACGTTTTGTGCCAAGTATAGTTCTAGATACTGGGAAGTATAACAGCAAAACAAACAAAAATCTCCTACCTGTAGGGCTTAGTAGCGGGAGACCATAAACAAATATGGTCAGGGAGTAATAAGTTCTATGAAGAAGTATGAAGCAGTTTAAGGAAGAGAGAGGATATTGTGTATGAGATCCTATATGGGAAGGGAAATGGTTTGGTGATCCAGGAAGGCTTCTGGAAGGAAGTGACACTTATCTGAACGCTGAGAATAAGGTAACCAAGCAGGTATGGGGAAGGGGGAGAAGAACATGCTGGCAGAAGGAACAGCCAAGTGCAAAGGACCTGAAACTATGTCTTGACATATTCGAGGAAGAAAAAGGAGGCCGGCGTGACTGGAGAAGAGTAAGAGAGGGTACAAATAGCAGAACATGAGGTCTGGTGAAGGGAGAGAGTTCATGTAAGACCTTGAAGGCAACTGTAAGGATTTTGGCTTTTAACTTTGAGATGGGGATCCTCATTAAGCAGACGAGATTTAAGTAGAGAAGTTACATCCCATGTAACTTTTTAACTGGTTGCTATGTTGAAAACAGACTTAAGAGCCACCAGTCGAGGAGGCTATTGGAATAATCCAGACAAGTAAATGATGGCTTGTACAAAAGTGGTACCAAAAATATAATGAGAAGTGGTGTCAGATCCTGGATATATTTTGAAGGTGGAGTCAAAAGAATTGCTCATGGAGTTAAGGTGAGTATGAGAAAAACAAATGAGTCAAGTATAACACCAGATTTTGTGACCTGAGCAACTAGAACAGTGTTTCTCGGTCTTTTTTAATTATTGTTGCCACCAAAGATCCTTTTTAAATATTTTTTCCTAATCACCCAGCTCACATTGAATTTTATTTTATTTTTTTTTTAAGATTTTATTTATTTGACAGAGAGAGACACAGCAAGAAAGGGAACACAAGCAGGGGGAGTGGGAGAGGGAGAAGCAGGCTCCCCACTGAGCAGAGAGCCCGATGCGGGGCTCGATCCCAGGACCCTGAGATCATGACCTGAGCCGAAGGCAGTCGTAATTTTAATGCCACAGATACATATGTATATCTGTTTATGTGCTTTTATTCAATGCAGAGTTAAGAAGTACTAAAATCTTTGGGGTGCCTGCCTGGCTCAGTCGGAAGAGCATGCAACTCTTAATCGTGGAGTCATGGGTTTGAATCACATGTTGGGTGTAGAGATTACTTAAATGAATAAATAGGGGCACCTGGGTAGCTCAGTTGGTTAAGCGGCTGCCTTCGGCTCAGGTCATGATCCCAGAGTCCTGGGATCAAGCCCCACATCGGCTCCTTGCTCAGCAGGGAGCCTGCTTCTCCCTCTCCCTCTGCCTGCCTCTCTGCCTACTTGTGCTCTCTATCTCTGTCAAATAAATAAATAAAATCTTTTAAAAAATGAATAAATAAATATTTTTTTAAAAAGGACTAATATCTTTAAGTTAAAAATTAAAAAATTTAAAGCTATTAATATTAAAGCTATTAATATTTAAAATCTTTATAACTGCATTTGCTGAGTAAACTTTAATGTAATAATTTATTTATTCATATAAATTGTAATTTATGGCCATTACATATGCAAATTAGTGGTTTACACAAATACATAATAGCAATGTAATCTTTTTTTTTTAATTAATTTATTTATTTGTCTGACAGAGAGAGACACAGTGAGAGAGGAAACACAAGCAGGGGGAGTGGGAGAGGGAGAAGCAGGCTCTCCGCGGAGCGGAGAGCCTGATGCAGGACTTGATCCCAGGACCTTGGGATCCTGACCTGAGCCGAAGGCAGACACCTGATGATTGAGCCACCCAGGCACCCCACAATGTAATCATTTATTAAATCATTCAAAATTGTGGGGCGCCTGGGTGGCTCAGTCGGTTGGGTGTCTGCTTTCATTTCAAGTCATGGTCCCGGGGTTTTGGGATCAGGCTCCTTGTCAGGCTCCTTGCTCAGTGGGGAGCCTGCTTCTCCCTCTCCCTCTGCTTATTGCTCCCCCTGCTTGTGCTCTCTCTCTCTGCCGAATAAATGGATAAAATCTTTTAAAAAAAATAATAAATCATTCAAATTTGTTTATATTCCCAGCAAAACAATGGAAAAAATTTTCTTTAAAATTTTTAATGAATTTTAAATTTTTTTTTTGACTTTTTTTTATTCTTATGTTAATCCCCATACATTACATCATTAGTTCTAGATGAATGAATTTTAAATTTTTATTTGACATGAGAAAATTACTAGCTAGTCATTCAGATATTGTTGACATTTTTTCCTTCTCAGCATTTGACAGAGTTAATGATGAACTGAATAACAAATGGAGAATCAAATAAAATATGAACTATTTTTATTTGCTCCTCAAAGCCCAAGTCATATGCAAAAACACTCAGAATCAAACGTGATATTCACAAGGCACTACATGACAGCCAAAAAATCAGGTATAGACCCACTTCCTGTGTTCAGAACTTCAAAATTAAGGGAAAGTTCTCCAGTCACAGCCTCAAAGTTTTGTTAGCATTGACTTTGCATACATTTTGTATATCTTCCATGAACTCAATGTCATTGTTGCTTGTGTCATATCCAAAAAAATAGAGAAATTAAATAAGGAATAAGATTGTGGGGGGTGCCTGGGTAGCTTAGTTAGTTAAGTGTCTGCCTTCAGCTCAGGTCATGATCTCAGGGTCCTGGGATCTAGCCCTAACATGGCCCCAGGCTCAGCGCAGAGTCTGCTTGTCCCTCTCCCTCTTCCTCTGCCCATCCCGCCCTCCGTGCACAGGCTCTTTCTCTCTCTAAAGTAAATAAAATCTTTGAAGAAAAAAAAATATTGTGTTGGGTATATTTGAGTTTTGGAGAGTTACAAGCCACCGTAATATCTAAGACTTTATCACACAAGAGCCAAATTTTTCCCTTTTGTGGGGTGACATTGCTCCCATTGAAAATTCATGAAATAGGGCGCCTGGGTGGCTCAGTTGGTTGGGTGACTGCCTTCAGCTCAGGTCATGATCCTGGAGTCCCGGGATC